CCCCCGACATTAATAACCGTTGCTCAGGGGCTAGACGTTCCATGACTTGGTTTTTGGCTTTGGCTGTTGCCATATGTACCAAGTGCCTTGCAAGGGTGACGTCTACGTTTGACAGACAAGATTCCGTACTGCATGGCCTCAACCGCACAAGGTCGTGTGCCCTTTGACAGGCACGGGCCACGCTCCTTATAGCATGTTTGGGGGGCATCCCTCTCGAACACAGGCGTTGCTACTGTAAATCCAGGGGGTGTCTTTGTTGAAGAGGGAGCGTTTCATACGTTTGGCGAAACGGCCACATGCTGGCGCATGGTTTTATTTTCCGTATCATGCGCGCGATCGCTGAAAGTTTTTTTGCTGCTGTTCTCGATGACAGGCGTCCAGCGGATACCAACCTTGACGCAAGCTTGGAATCATTCCCGGAAGACTTTCTCGCAGCTTACTCCGGGAAAAGGCCTGAGTGGGTGGTGACGAGCCCTCCGTACAGCAGGGCTCTGACTTTTGTCAAGGCCGCCATGTCGTTGGCGACAAAAGGCGTGGAGTTCAAAATGCCCATTTCTTGCCTGGAACCTTGCGCCGACCGGGGTGGTTGGCTGCAAACGAACCCCCCGTCTGTGTGTTTGTTTCTACGCAGAGCAAAATACACGCGTGCGAACAATGCGAAGATGGGCGAATTCTGGGGTGTGTGGTATACTCAGGAAGTGAGCTGCCGCAACAAGACGAGGCTTGTTTTCTGTCCTGAATAGCACGGCTGCAGTTGGGTAGCGAAATGGTTCAGTTAGGTTGGGACATATGCAAGGCGTAACGTCACCGCAAAACTTTTTTGAAAATATTGGTTGTGGGAATATATATATATGTGTGTTGAAGACATCTATTTCGGGGATGCGACATGATTATGCCCCGAGCGAAGTTGGCATGTTTTCGGGGCGTGCTCTAAGCAAACAAGCAAACGTATGGGTTTGGCCGTATCACGTGCACGTAGACTAATGAGTTCTGGTGTCATGCTTCTGTTTTGATTGCACTAAGGAGTTTTTTTGTTCTTGTGTGTGTTGTTTTCGCGGCATGAATCCGGGCTTGCTGTTGAGCGTGTGCATTACCTACCTAAAAATACGGAGGTCGATTTTTTTAATCCTTGAAGTAAGGGCCAGGACCAGCACGTGGGCCACCATTCATGCCGTAATCTCGAACGTGTGCTCATGCAAGCCCCCACAAACGTTTCGCTCACCGGCACACGAACAACAAATCGATTTCTCAAATTGACCTTTCGTTAGTCCCAGCACTCACGAGATTCAACTGTTGTCCTACATGATGCCGCCACGCGTTTCCCTCTATCTGCTCGTACTCTTCAACGTCATCCTCCATAACACTACCTAAAACCACGCCTCCACTCAAACCCGACTCGGCGTCCCTGGTCGAAGAATCAAACATACCCGGCAAGTGTTCCTCGTCGCTATCGCTGTCACTATCTTCATCCCTGTCCACTAGCCCTCCCTCAGCTGAACGATCTTCCTGCATATCACTTTCTTCCGTCTCTTCCTCGCGGCATGTAAGCTTGCACTTGCACAACTCTGAGCATTGGCCAAAACTGTTAGTGATGCACACGCAGCTTGTGCATTGACCCCCTCGCTTCCTCTTCCCAGATGAACAGGTGCACCTTACCGTTTCAAATCCACCCGGCCAAATAGTAACCTTAGGGAACCTGCGCATCGACATCATACAACCACCTTCAACCTCCGTACTCTCGATGTACCCCATCCCGTCCCATTTGGGAACTTGAATGGGGTACCTGNTGTTAGTGATGCACACGCAGCTTGTGCATTGACCCCCTCGCTTCCTCTTCCCAGATGAACAGGTGCACCTTACCGTTTCAAATCCACCCGGCCAAATAGTAACCTTAGGGAACCTGCGCATCGACATCATACAACCACCTTCAACCTCCGTACTCTCGATGTACCCCATCCCGTCCCATTTGGGAACTTGAATGGGGTACCTGGCGGAGACGTCCGAACCTGGAGAACCACTCGGCACAACGGAAAGCCAGTATTTTACCAACCACGACATCCGGACAACGCAAAGCTCGGTGGCATCGTAGTTCGGGGCGGCTTTGCTGAGGTTCCCGGCACCGTACCATTTTTCAGCAGTTCGCTCCTGAATTGCTTGTACCCACTGCCTCGTATCATCGACCTCCCCTCCCCGTTTATCTCCCGTGACTTGATGCCCCGGTAACGCGTTAGCAAACAAACCTTTGTTCTTGACGAAGTACGCAAGCGCAACAAACTTGACCAATTATTGCCTCTCCAAATGTGAACCGGTGACCACCCCATCCTCTATCATTTCGCTGCCCAGGGCCTTGACAAATTGGTGGTTTTCGGGAATCTTCGCTAACTCGAAGTATGGCTGGAACATGAAAAAAGACGTCAAGCCAAAAAACATAGGAGTAAAGTCAGTACCGTTGAGCATGTATGATGCAATCACCGGCAAGCACCTCTGCAAATCGGTGAACGAATGCGGCCAATTCCCCATTTTGGTCAGGGTCTCGAAAAGCTCAAGTACGTCGATGTAGTTAACGGGGACTTGATCATTCAACCCGCTCTGTTGTCGCACGATCACTCGAACTCTTCGAATGTACGGGTAAAGGGCATACGCGAGAAGGGTCGCCACCCAAACGTCCGTGTCGACAGATACTACCTTCACCCGAACGGGTGGTGTTCCCCCTTGCCCCTTCTGGTTGATCTCGGAGCTACTACCGTCACCCTCCCCCGTCAGCGGCCGTTGTAGTTGACCGACCAGGTAGGCGTGGTGTAGTGCCTGGAGTTCGCCTTCNTAAAGGGCATACGCGAGAAGGGTCGCCACCCAAACGTCCGTGTCGACAGATAATACCTCCACCCGAACGGGTGGTGTTCCCCCTTGCCCCTCCTGGTTGATCTCGGAGCTACTACCGTCGCCCTCCCCCGTCAGCGGCCTCTGTATTTGACCGACCAGGTAGGCGTGGTGTAGTGCCTGGAGTTCGCCTTCCCCTATACCGTTCCCCTCGTCACCAATAATAAAACCGTCTTTGTCGTTGTGCCACGACTTAAAATTCGTTGTCTCCAAAAAATCTTGGGATAAGATGGGCTCACCGTCGATCCGCAACCTTAAGTTTCCCAGATAATGCTCCGACCACGTCATAGCCGTGTTGTTGGACTTTTTGGCGCGTATACTTTCGAACTCCCCACGAATGAACTGGCACAAAACAGAAAAAACGCCGTCACGGTGCTGACGGTTCTTCAGGAAGTCCTGCCACTCACCCCGAAGTGGCGTGCGATCATCTAACCCAAACCGCCACTCTTTCTCCTTGCACAAGGGCTCATGAGGCTTTTTCCGTGCCCCCTTCGAACTGGGAAACAGCCCCCGCTTACTGTGGGCAAAGCTCTTGGGCTTTGGCACCCGACTCCGCTTGNCAGCCCCCGCTTAATGTGGGCAAAGCTCTTGGGCTTTGGCACCCGACTCCGCTCGTCGAAATTGAGAACTACCTGCGCGGAATACAAGTTTAGTGCGGGAAATGGTTAACCAACCACACATACCTGCATCCTCCCCTCCCCGGCCTGCTCCCCGGCCGGGGCCGAAATCGACCTTGTGAGTCCCTCGCGGGCGAACCAGGC